CATCTCCTTCAGCATCCACAGACAGGACGTTGGCCCCGATTTAACAGCCAATGGAACCTGGGAACCAGGATCTCCTGAGCCAATGGGATGCTGGGTGCCGCCCCCCCCCACATACATAATGATGTCAGAGTCAGAATAATAACAGCAGGAGGAGGAAAGCCCTGCACAGCCGCAGCTCCCTCAGTCATTTTTGAAGAGTTCTCTGCTTCCCTCTGAGCGCCACCATGGTCGATGCCTTCTGTGCCACCTGGAAACTGGTCGACAGTGAGAACTTTGATGACTACATGAAGGCGCTGGGTCGGTACAGCAGCTCTTTTTGTTCTGTTCTTCAATAACTGCCGGATTATTGTCCTGAACATGTTTCCCCTCTCGTTTCCTCCCTCAGGCGTGGGCTTTGCCACCCGGCAGGTGGGCAACGTCACCAAGCCCACCGTCGTCATCAGCCAGGACGGAGACAAGGTGGTGATCCGAACCCAGAGCACCTTCAAAAACACAGAGATCTCCTTCAAGCTGGGAGAGGAGTTTGATGAAACCACGGCGGACGACAGGAACTGCAAAGTAAGACCAGACGGGGGCGTACTGCAGTTTTTATTTTGTATTTGTTTAATGTTCTCAGAGTCAGTCTTCTTGGACCGTCCTCATTCGCTCACTTTTCTGCTTCACTTGACGTCAGGTGTTAAGTTCCCGTTGCTTTTGTGTTTCAGTCCACCGTGTCTCTGGAGGGAGACAAGCTGGTCCACGTCCAGAAGTGGGACGGCAAGGAGACTCAGTTTGTTCGAGAAATCAAGGATGGGAAGTTGGTCATGGTGAGACATCAGGGTTTTGGTTTTTTTTGGAGGTTCAGGTGTCTGGACTTTTCATAACTGTCGACTGTTGCTTCTTTATGGGTTTGACTTTTCATAACTGTCGACTGTTGCTTCAACAAACCCTAAAGTTATGGGTTTGAAAAAAAAAAAAGCACTGACAAATGAATTCTGTAAATGCATGAAAAACGCCTCATTTTTACAGTTAGGTCACAGAAACGAACTAAACTGAAAAGTGTCCCAGAAACACAGCTCCAGAGTAAAGAAGTGTTTCATTAGACGACTAATGAATGCGACAACAACTTCACATGAAAACGACACAGCCTCAGGTCAGGAACCGCTGTGGGACCGAGAGAGAAGAAACACACAGGTTGACTATAAATATCATATATAAAAACGAGAGAAACATAAAAGCTAGAAAAAGGTGGTCAAACTTTTTAGAAGTCGTTTTTTACACGTTCTGATGAAACTTTGAAATATTTTTTAAAAATAATATTAAGGTGAGTCTGCTGCCCTCCTCTGTCTGGTCCTGGTCCTGCAGCTCAGCACAGCTGAGGGTTAAAGTGTTCAAGTGTTCGGTTGGTTGTCATGGTAACTGCCCTGTCTTTGCTACAGAATCTGACCTTTGAGGACATCCATGCAGTCCGTACCTACGAGAAGGCGTGAGTGTCTTGGACCCACGGTGTCCACGAGCAGCCCAGGACTGTTGCTGGTTTTTTTTTTTTATTAATTATTGACTGACTGTATGTTTTTCTTTATACTTTTCGTCCCTCCGTGTCCACGACACACGAGCATTTTATACAGTTTTTTTTTTACAAGAGTGAATTCTCATTGAAATGAATGGATTTGCTAAAAAAAACAACAACATTAAAATGTTACATCCACCAAGAACTCCTTGTCTGTCGCTTTTGTCATTTACATCTCAACATTTCTAAATGTTCCTCAGCAAACGACTCAAAGACAACCACGTGCTTTTTTCTCCACAAATCACTGGGATTTACTGTGTCAAGTCTTGATTAAAAAAAAAAAAATCAAAAGTAAAAAAAAGACGAACCCTCACTGAAAGACATCCCATAATAAGACTGGAACTAAAAAAGTAACGTGGAGATTATTCTGAATACTCTGGTACTTTGATTTGATTTGTTCTGTTACACAGTAGCGGAAATACTTATTATTTTTATACAAACCGAATGAAAAGAAATTCCGAGAAACTGCTGAAAGGTAAAGAGAAGAAAGAAAAATAAGTCAAAATAAATAGGACATAAAACGCCACACGCCATAGCAACGATGTCCGAACTATTTTTAAAATAACCACAGCCTCTAGAGAAAAAAAAGAAAAAAAAGTTAAAGAATTAATAAATATTCAAAGGTTAAAACGTGACGAAAGTAGCGAGAATAACCTCACGTTCAGAAACCCGTTGCAGTCACGTGACAACAGTGGCTCATACTTCCGTATAAACAACCGGAAGTATGAGCCACTGTTGTCCAGCGACGTAGTAGGATTCAAACGAGCTTCTCTCTGTTGTTAAACGGACACTATGGTTCAGTGTTTGTCTGATCTGCTTTTCCTGTTAATGGTCAACGTCGCTGCGCTGGAGGCTGCGCCGACCGGAAGCAGTGACCTGCCCGGCACAGGTGAGCGGCATCCCGGCTTTGGAATTTTTAACTTCCTCGTCGACAATCTATGGAATGCTGCCAAGACCGTGTTTTCACGAGTCAAACGTTGGAAACTGGGAATTCTCTCATTTGAATTTAACCTCGTGCACAGGTGAATTAGAAATAAAAAGTTTGACTTTGTTGGAACTTCAATCCAGCTTCAGTCCAGCTTCAGTCCAGCTTCAGTCCAGCTTCAGTCCAGCTTCAGTCCAGCTTCAGTCCAGCTTCAGTCCAGCTTCAGTCCAGCTTCAGTCCAGCTTCAGTCCAGCCTGATAGAACAGTCTCAGTCGGACGTGTTGTGTTGTGAAATGAATTGTTTTTAATCTGCGTTTTTTTTTTTTTTCTTCTTTCTGACTTTGTACTAATCAAACCATTCCAGGCCGGTTCTGGCACATCACCGACCTCCACCTGGACCCCTCCTACCACCTGACTGCAGATCCCACCAAGGTCTGCGTCTCATCCAAAGGAGCCCCGGTCTCCCGGGCCGGCCCGTTCGGTGCCTTCCTGTGTGACTCTCCCTACAGCCTCATCCAGTCGGCCTTCGCTCACATGGCAACACTCACACAGGGCCGGGACTTCATCGTATGGACCGGGTCAGTACAGCAGTGGAGAATATGTGCTGTTGTACAGCTGTGACATGATGGGCTTCAACCCTTGATGAACCTCCGTGGTTTCCTGTGCGGTGGTGAGTTCGTGTGTTCGTGTCAGTCAAGGACCACTTCCTCCCGTCAGGAGTGAAAACCCACTTCCTCCCGTCATGAGTTTCAGTGTGTGAACCTCACTCATGTGCAGCCAATCAGCTGACAGCTGGTCCTGATGCCTGTCAGTCAGTCTGTCTGTAAGATGAAAATGATGTTGTTTGTTGTTTCTGGTCTTGGTACCAAGTGACCCAGTCCAGTCGAGGGGTGAGGGGGGAGGGAGGGGGGGGACGACAGGGTTTTAACAGAACGTCTGGCTGATCCTGGATCTGATGTTTTGCAGTGACAGTCCACCTCACGTCCACGTTGAAGACCTGTCCACAGAGACGGTGATCCAGGTGATCAGGAACATGACCCGCACCATCAGACACTTCTTCCCCGACCTGACGGTCTACCCCGCCCTGGGCAACCACGACTACTGGCCACAGGTGACCTGCGTGTGGACGGTTCAGTCCCAGATGGAACACCAAGTCATGAAAATGTAGATTTAACTCCAGGAACTTCTGTCCAGGACCAGATGCCAACGGTCACTAATGCCATCTACAGAGCAGCCGCTGAGCTGTGGGCCCCCTGGCTGCAGAAAGAGGCACTGCTCACTCTCTCACAAGGTAACACCCTGCTGCTGTCAGAGCCTTAATTAACCCCCGCTGTCACAGCAGGTGGCGCTCTTGGCCACCCACCGGTCAGGTTTTACTCTCGCTCCACTGCTGTCTATGCAGGTGGGTTCTACTCCCAGCTGGTGCAGCCCGGTCTGCGTGTGGTCAGTCTGAACACCATCCTTTACTACGGACCCAACAAAGTCTGCAGCAACCAGACGGACCCTGCTGGTCAGTTTGACTGGCTGGAGAGGACGCTGGACACGGCTGCCGACAGTCTGGAGAAGGTTCTGATGCTGTCTCCTCGTAACCCTGTTGATGATGGTGGTGGTTGTTGTTGTTGTTGTTGTTGTTGTTGTTGTTGTTGTTGTTGTTGTTGTTGTTGTTGTTGTTGTTGTTGTTGTTGTTGTTGTTGTTGTTGTTGTTGTTGTTGTTGTTGTTGTTGTTGTTGTTGTTGTTGTTGTTGTTGTTGTTGTTGTTGTTGTTGTTGTTGTTGTTGTTGTTGTTGTTGTTGTTGTTGTTGTTGTTGTTGTTGTTGTTGTTGTCAGTCACCATCCAAACCTCATTTCCTGTCTGGTCTCAAATGCCTGGTGAAGTGTTTACAGTTGTTTCTCTCAGGTCTACGTCATCGCTCACGTCCCCGTGGGCTACCTGCCCTTCACGAAGAACGTCACCGCCGTCAGACAGACGCACAACGAGAGGCTGGTGTCCATCTTCAGGAAGTACAGTGACGTCATCGCAGGTCATTCCAGCTTCAGTCCAGCTTCAGTCCAGCTTCAGTCCAGCTTCAGTCCAGCTTCAGTCCAGCCTGATAGAACAGTCTCAGTCGGACGTGTTGTGTTGTGAAATGAATTGTTTTTAATCTGCGTTTTTTTTTCTTCTTTCTGACTTTGTACTAATCAAACCATTCCAGGCCGGTTCTGGCACATCACCGACCTCCACCTGGACCCCTCCTACCACCTGACTGCAGATCCCACCAAGGTCTGCGTCTCATCCAAAGGAGCCCCGGTCTCCCGGGCCGGCCCGTTCGGTGCCTTCCTGTGTGACTCTCCCTACAGCCTCATCCAGTCGGCCTTCGCTCACATGGCAACACTCACACAGGGCCGGGACTTCATCGTATGGACCGGGTCAGTACAGCAGTGGAGAATATGTGCTGTTGTACAGCTGTGACATGATGGGCTTCAACCCTTGATGAACCTCCGTGGTTTCCTGTGCGGTGGTGAGTTCGTGTGTTCGTGTCAGTCAAGGACCACTTCCTCCCGTCAGGAGTGAAAACCCACTTCCTCCCGTCATGAGTTTCAGTGTGTGAACCTCACTCATGTGCAGCCAATCAGCTGACAGCTGGTCCTGATGCCTGTCAGTCTGTCTGTCTGTAAGATGAAAATGATGTTGTTTGTTGTTTCTGGTCTTGGTACCAAGTGACCCAGTCCAGTCGAGGGGTGAGGGGGGAGGGAGGGGGGGGACGACAGGGTTTTAACAGAACGTCTGGCTGATCCTGGATCTGCTGTTTTGCAGTGACAGTCCACCTCACGTCCACGTTGAAGACCTGTCCACAGAGACGGTGATCCAGGTGATCAGGAACATGACCCGCACCATCAGACACTTCTTCCCCGACCTGACGGTCTACCCCGCCCTGGGCAACCACGACTACTGGCCACAGGTGACCTGCGTGTGGACGGTTCAGTCCCAGATGGAACACCAAGTCATGAAAATGTAGATTTAACTCCAGGAACTTCTGTCCAGGACCAGATGCCAACGGTCACTAATGCCATCTACAGAGCAGCCGCTGAGCTGTGGGCCCCCTGGCTGCAGAAAGAGGCACTGCTCACTCTCTCACAAGGTAACACCCTGCTGCTGTCAGAGCCTTAATTAACCCCCGCTGTCACAGCAGGTGGCGCTCTTGGCCACCCACCGGTCAGGTTTTACTCTCGCTCCACTGCTGTCTATGCAGGTGGGTTCTACTCCCAGCTGGTGCAGCCCGGTCTGCGTGTGGTCAGTCTGAACACCATCCTTTACTACGGACCCAACAAAGTCTGCAGCAACCAGACGGACCCTGCTGGTCAGTTTGACTGGCTGGAGAGGACGCTGGACACGGCTGCCGACAGTCTGGAGAAGGTTCTGATGCTGTCTCCGACAGTCTGGAGAAGGTTCTGATGCTCTCCTCGTAACCATGATGATGATAGTGGTTGTTGTTGTTGTTGTTGTTGTTGTCAGTCACCATCCAAACCTCATTTCCTGTCTGGTCTCAAATGCCTGGTGAAGTGTTTACAGTTGTTTCTCTCAGGTCTACGTCATCGCTCACGTCCCCGTGGGCTACCTGCCCTTCACGAAGAACGTCACCGCCGTCAGACAGACGCACAACGAGAGGCTGGTGTCCATCTTCAGGAAGTACAGTGACGTCATCGCAGGTCATTTCTACGGCCACACCCACCGCGACAGCATCATGGTGCTGTTGGACCAGAAAGGTAACGTTTCCACACACACACACACACAGACACACACACACACACAGCAGGGGGATGCAGTGTGTGACGATCTCTGTTTCCTGCAGGGAAACCTCTGAATTCTCTCTTCGTGTCTCCGGCCGTTACGCCAATCAAGAACGCTGTGGAGCCGTACTCCAACAACCCGGGTTTTCGCATGTACCAGTACCACTTCAAGGACTTCTCCGTGTTGGTAAGGAGCTCTGTGGAGCACACCTTTAGACGACAAAGAACAACAAAATAAAACCACGGCACTGAAGTGTAGAGAAGTCTAAAGGTCATCAAGGTCAAACTTGGCTGACCAGTGAACAGCCCAGAGGGTTGGTCAGGTGAGAACAGCCGTACTGGGTGTAGAGGCCTCTCCAGAGACTCTGTTTCAAAGTCAAGAGACAAAGAAGAGGTTTGTCTTGGTGATTAGTCACAGTGTCAATCACGACACAAAAACTGGTTCCGTTTTTTTTGGTTTTTTTTAACAAATATGTTTTTTCCTCTTCCTCCTCTTCCTCCTGGAAGGATATCTGGCAGTACTATTTGAATCTGACGGAAGCCAACGAGAAACAAAGGTCGGACTGGAGACTTGAATATGTCATGAGTGAAGCCTTTGGACTGAGTGACCTGCAGCCTCACAGTCTGCTCCAGCTGGGCCTGAGCTTCAGGCTGCCGCACACACGGACCTTTGAGCGGTACTTCAGGCACTTCATGGTCCAGTACGACGGCAGCGCCACCTGTGAGGGCGACTGTAAGCTGAACCAGGTGTGTGCCGTGCTCTTCCTGGACCAGGTGTCCTACACTGACTGCATCACCAAGAGGAGGCGCTGGAGCTGAGGGTGGAGCCGAGCGAACAAAAGAAAGAAGAAGAAACAAAAGAAGATGACGGCGCCGTGACAGAGTATTGTATTTTACTGTGCAGTTTTCTACTGAATAAAGATGTTTTTGATTGATTACTGAAACCTATAGACTAAAGCCTCTTTTTGCCCCCTGCAGGATGCACAGGGTAACAGCAGCTGACCTCATTTGATCCCCTCACTCTCCCCCCTCCCCCCGAGCTCCTTCTTCTCTTGTGTAAACTTCCCAGAAACCCCTGGTCGTTTCTCAGCCACTGACTCAAGCATTTGCCCTCCCCCTTTACTCCCCCTTTACTCCCCCTTTACTCCCCCTTCTGCCTCCTTTGTCCTTCTGCCTGCGTTTCAACTTCAAACAGTAGCAGTTCTTTATATTGTGAACTTGTTCTAGCTGTTATGTGCTCCCACTCCATCATCTGACAGCAGAGGGAGCCGTCATCAGATGTTGATGTAAAAATAGTGTGGATTATTTTTACAGATGATTTAAAACCCAGGACTGGACGGAAAAAGATTTTAGTTCTCCTCCTTGTTCTCCTTTTGTTCAGAGTTTTTTTTTCTCGATGAACTGTGGTCCAACTTGGAACAACTACTCTGTCATGTCAAACCCCAGCTTGATTCTGATTGGCTGTCACTGAACTGGCTATGGTGGGCCCATTTTCAAAAAGGAGAAATGTGGGCTACGAGAGCTTTAGTGAAGTCCAGTGTGAGGGTGCAGCCCAGCTATTGTCCTGTCTCACACACACACACACACACACACACACACACACACACACAGACTGCCTGTTGCTGTCTCCATCATGAAGGAGCCCATTCATGAGCTTTAACAAATTACTACTGAAGCCTGAGTCTAGAAAGACCCCCACACACACACACACACACAAACACACACACACACATACACACACACACACATACACACACACACACATACACACACACACACAAACACACACACACACATACACACACAGACTGCCTGTTGCTGTCTCCATCATGAAGGAGCCCATTCATGAGCTTTAACAAATTACTACTGAAGCCTGAGACTAGAAAGACCCCCACACACACACACACATACACACACACACACATACACACACACACACATACACACACACACACAAACACACACACACACATACACACACACACACAAACACACACACACACAAACACACACACACACATACACACACACACACACAATAGAAAAGTTCAATAGAAGGTTTAGCAGGTGTGTGTACTGCGTTGACTGTATGTACTACTCTGGTACTCTGGTGTACTCCAGTACTCCTACAAATACGTGCTGACTTCGCCCTCGTTTGGACT